GAAGCCCTCATGCATGTCCAAAAAAACGTCCATGAGCGGATAAGGATGATGATGATTGTTAACACAATCAGCCCGCTGTAGATGTAGATGCACTGCATGCGGGTGAGGGGACTCCTCGGGTCCTCTACGACGCCGTTTTCCGTTTGGTTCATCTATAAAATTATACAATTAACGAAATATGATTAATGTAAAATGAGATCTACGATCTTTCTACAAAAACTTCTTTCTGCTTACGTTTAAAAAAAATTACACTTTTGAAAATGTGCCAAGCGAGACTAACTCTTATTAGCTAAATAGATAAGGAGTTATTGTTCTTTTCCAAATTAGTATTTCTCTCTTCTTTAATTCCAACGAGTCAATCCGACCGAGCAAGAAGGGATAACCGTTACAATTTTCTGGAAAAGCGATTATGCCTCAATTCGCCAATTATTTTAGCAACATGTATATAGACACTTACAAAGTGTTCTTCTATTTCAATCCATTGGGCTAGAAAGAAGTCGGCGCTGCTGGCTGCTAATTGTGTCAATATAAAAAGCATAGCCACAATGGACATCACGCACCAGTTTCCGCCAGCGCGTAAGTAATTCGTATAAACTCTGCCGGAAACATTGCCTACTGTTCGCATCTCAGCCACCTGAAATTAACGATTAAAATTTAACTTATAATTTAGCGTTAAAATATAAAATTTTTCCAACGACAGATGAAAGAACATTCACGTATTTGAAATTAATATGCGTACTTCTGAATAAAAGTAAACTCATTATTTAATTATTAAGGATCAACAAGTTCCTACGATTTTTCTGAAAAAGGCAAATAAAAATTCGATCTGATATGTCACTCAATCTGCATTAAAGTGTAGCCGACATGCAAATAATTTTATGTATCACTGTATTTTAAGAACAAAGTTGCAAAATTCGACTTTATACGGACCTTCGAAGCTTTATTTAAAAAAAGAGGAGTTATAAGATTTCATGACGATACGAATGTTACTTCTACGAAGTAAAATATGATGATTGAACAGACATAAATTTATCACGAATAAAAAACAAATAATTCTGTTTATTATAATTATTAAAAAATCAAATTGCACAAAATCTGATTATGTTAGACGTAGAAATTTTTATAAGTTTTACATTTTTGTAAAAAAAAATCAAAAAGATTGATATGGCTAGATATTTCTTCTAGTCTTTCATAAAAAAATATGTCAGCTGCATGGGGCAAGTGGAAAAACTTGTTAGCTGCTTGCGTGAAAATGTAGGAAAAATACGAAAAATCGGACCATTTTAGCAAAGCTGAAAATTGTATATATAATAGTGTACAATCTAAAAATAGTATAAATAACTGTCAGCTGATATTTAAATGTGGCAAAACCTGTTAGTTGGGCGTTCAAAGTTAGAATATTATTTCGAAAAGCAGGCACTATGTTTTCTAATAGTATAGTATAGAACATTGATTTGCTACCTGCTCTCTTTCCCCTACCTTTTGAAAAACATCTGCCTCACCCAAACACATGTGCGTGGTTCGGCTTGGTCCGCTTGGCTTGTAACTGAAGCGTCTCAAGCCAAGTTTTATTAGTTCTTACGTTACTCTTGAACAGTGCAGTCGTGTTATATTAAAAAATGCCGATACTTTCTTGTATTATTTGTTCAAAAAGATCGCAACCGCTGACGCTATTAACAGATATTACTTTAAATAAGTGCAAAAATGTGTTAGCAGTTCGCCAGAAGAACAATTTATCATGTAAAGATCTGGTATTACCAACAACAATAACCGAGAACCACGGGTATCATCGAACGTGCTACCAGCGTTTTACTGCGTTGCCGCCTGAATACAGATTAGTATCATCGGCAGAAAATTCGGAAGTGAATTTTGAAGCATCAACGTCAACTGCATCAAGGTGATTATTATTTGTTAAGCTATTCTTTCTTGGGTGCGCCATATTAGGCACTTCTTCCTTACGTGAATAATGTTTTTTTCTAAAAGAATAATAATTATTTCTTCTAAATATTCATTATATCTATTGGATATATCTTTTCAGTTCAAATGTTGAGACCGATGAAAGAAGGCTAGAAAATGAAGAGAAAGAAAGTTCTAATGTTGAGGTCGATGCAGTAGATGAAAATAATGAAAATTTAGATTCTGATATTAATCTTTCGGATGTTCAGAGTGTTCATACCGTATTTGATAATAGTATTTGCATCATTTGTGTACAAATTAGGAAAAGAGTTAAGGGTCGAACTGTACAGCTGCATTTATGTCAAAAAGAAACAATAAAAATTTTAAAATCTTACGCGGCAGAAGATGATAATATTGATTTACTTCACAGACTTAAAAACTGCGAATCTGAAAATAAAGAAGTGCGATATCATAACTGTTGCAAGAAAGATCTATTGTATCGGATACAATCTAAAAATAATGAAAATCGCGAAAAAACAGAATGGCATCAAAAACGCCATATTCATAAAACTGCATTCGAAGTCGTATCAGATTACGTGTTAGAAAACGTTATAAACTTAGGTAAATGTTGTTTTTTAAATTTTTTGAAAGACATGTATATTGAATATGTAAAAACGAAATTCAGAGATTTTGATGGTACGATTGAACTTCGAGATTTGGAAGAAAGATTGCTGAAATTATTCCCAAGGAAAATTGCAGTCGTAATGTTAAACAAAAAAAAATTGTCAAGCCATTTAATGGAGTTTTACTTCAAGATAGTTTACATGATATTGAAAAAAGGGACATTTTAAATAGAACAGCTATGATTTTAAGAACGGAAATTCAAAATATTGTACACAAACCACTTCCTAATAAAATAACTGCAACTAATATGGTAGCAGGAGAATGTGAAATTCCACAACTTGTCAAAGATTTTTAATAAAAAATAAACATGCCTGCTCTTCAAAGCAACTTACAAATAAGGATCTTAGCTGGCACTGGAAATAATAGAAGATATCTTGATGTCAATAAATTGTTTGAGAAACTGGGTGAACAATTGTGTTTAGCACTTCCAGCTTTTCACGCCTTAACAGGTTGTGATTATAATCCTGCTTTCTATAGAAAAGGAAAAAAAAACCGCTACAAATATTACGGAAATCTTCAAAATATATAGAAGCATTGATTAGCATTTCCAACTTAACATCTGAAAACTTGGAAGAAAACGATTTCACAGATTTGGAGGAATTCGTTTGTCGAATATATGGACATAATGCAATCAATGAAATTAATCTGGTACGCGTAGCTACGTTTATGAAGGCATATAAAATCAGTGAAAGAGAAGAAATCTTGAAAATTGATCAAAACTTTGAAGGATCCATGCTACCTCCTTGTAAGTCTGAATTACGACAACATTTTCTGCGAACTTCGTACATAGCTCAATTATGGAACCATGCTCATCTTCCTACGTCAACTTTGTTTTCGCCAACTGATTTTGGATGGGAGGAACAAGACGATAAATATATTTTCAAGTGGTTTGAAGGCGAACAGTTGCCAAAAATAGACAGTATTACAAATGAGAGCGGAAAAATAACAGGCATATATAACAGTTACACTTCAACTTCCTAATGAATTTTCTTTTATTAAATTTTCTTTGTATTTTTTACAGCTATTTTGGAAGACAAAAATGAAAACGATAATGAAAATGATGACGAACAGGATTCTGAGGAACATCCAAATATTAAAGATGATTCCGACAACAGTTCAGAAGAAGGCGATTTCGATTATGAAAATGATTCCAATGATGAATATGAATAATTCGAGAAATTACTGAATATATGTTATACTATGAAAAAATTATACTATGAAATAAATATACACAATTTATATCAATTGTAGTAAAAGATATTTTTCTTGCTGTTCGAAATAATATATTCTGATAAATATTAAAATTATAAAATACAATATTTCAATTTATTTATAATATTATTATACAGTATGTGATACCATTTTACTCCGGTATTCTCTTTCAATCATATTTTTCTCCAGTAATATGATATCAGCAGGCATGGAAATGAGTACCTCATCAGTTTATGGTAAAAAAAAAAAGAAAACCACTTGTTAGCTGACACGACAAGGTGGAAAAATGTGTTAGCTGCGTCATCAAAGACACCGCGTGCGCCAGCGCGCGCTAAAGCTACGCTACACTTTGAACGCCCAGTTAACAGGTTTTGCCACATTTAAATATCAGCTGACAGTTATTTATACTATTTTTAGATTGTACACTATTATATATACAATTTTCAGCTTTGCTAAAATGGTCCGATTTTTCGTATTTTTCCTACATTTTCACGCAAGCAGCTAACAAGTTTTTCCACTTGCCCCATGCAGCTGACATATTTTTTTATGAAAGAAATATTATAAATAAATAACCTACAGTTTTTCAGCTTTGCTAAAATGACCGGAAAAACAATTTTTTTTTACATGTTTCCCAGCCTCTCGCCATCTTAAGCCACGCTTTTGTACCAGCTGACGCCCCAGTCGTTGATAAGCTATGGATCAAAAATCTATAGTAGAAAAATGAGCTTTGCGAAAATGCTCCGGTCAAATAGGACGCTACCTCCCGGACTATTCTACCAGACAAAATATAGTAGAATATTATACAGATATGACATGAGTTAATTGGGTCGTTACTTCTGCCGACCTATTAAACGTCAATATAATAATATTTTTTCTAATATGTTAAAATCTAACTTACAATTAGAAAAGATAAAATACTTGAACTAATGTTTCGCTATATTTAAGATACAATTATTCTAAATCACAATGTTAGTTAAATACGATATATAGTAGTTACTTCAGAAAATAAATAATTAGAAAATAAGTCCAAATTACTTCAGCAGGCCCTTGTTTCGAAGTGTCGTCAATCATAAAGGAATTCAAGGATTTGATACTGCTGGTGTGCGAATTTCTACGGCTGGCAGAAGCCAAAAGGGGCGGAGAGGATTTCTCATTCGCCTCCCATTGGTTTTCCAATAACCGACCGAAATCCACTCTCATAGAGCTCAGTTCGTCATAAGTCCTGATGAACAAAAAATTTTATACTATAAAGCAATAGAAGTGAATATTAATATAAATATTCGCTTTAACTTCCAAGCGAATTTTTTGAAAATAAAAAAAGATTTGTTACGCGGCGTTACAAGGCGGGCACACGTGCATTTAAATATTCCATGTCAATATTAGTATTTGTGTTTTTTTTTGCAAAGAGACAATATATGATTCCTAACGTTTAGAAAACGATTGATATAAGGACTTAAAATAGAACGTTTTGCTTTATCACCAGATAGATAAGCCCAAAGTGATTAGTTCCGTTAAAGGCCATTAAATGTTCTCGCACGTGTACCTGCGTCATATAGATACTGTAACCTACTGATAAAGAGAACTTTAATAAAAATAAGTTCTTTTTCATTTTGGTTTATAAATAATATTCTCATTCGTCCTTCATTCCTCTCCTTGTGATAAAGGATCAAGGTTTTAATCGTAAAGATAAGACAAAGCGA